TGAGAGCTGGGGGCATATGTCTAAATGAGATGGTTAGAGATGGTCCTGTCCACCAAAGCGCATGCGTACTGAGGGCCTTGAGGACCAGGCGCATTTGGAAAACCTGTTATCGTGTGTCTGCGTGTGTGTGCGCGTGCACGCGCGCGTGTGTGCCTGTGTTCATTCCTGTTCGGTGCGCATGCGCACTGTCAGGTTGCGGTGTGGTGGAGGGTATTAAGGTATAGGTCGTAGAACTGATTTGCCATCTTGGAAGCGAAAGAAGCTGGAGCTCGGAAACCAAAAGCCCTAGGCTTCTAGGTAGGCAAACCCAAAAAGGTTTGGGACCCAAAATTAGGCAAGTTCTTTTATCCTTCAAATTTAGCCAGACTTCTGATGAACCAACACCCCTTCCTTATTCTTCTCTAACCCAGGCCTATTCCCTTTAGGCGCAGCTATTAGCCTCTCAGAAAGATGGATAGAAGAAATGACTATGGTTATCGGATGCCCACGTTCCAGGTGAGACCTCTCTGCATTCTTACCAGGCTATCTGTTTTGCCCTGAATTTACTTACCACCCTGGGGCCCACTACCTAACCTGTCTCAGTCTTCTTTTGCATGGTGTTCCCTCCCCCTTTCCATGGTCCTTTCTCCCCCCTTTCCCCATCCCCTTTCAATCAAACTGCTCGGGAGGAGAGGCCATTGCAGAGGGGGGTGGCTATAGGGATGCCAGTGGCCCACAGATCATAATCCTAAGTATGTAGGGCCCTATGCCTCCCCCTGGGAGCCTAGGGCTTCCTATCTCTCCAGATGTACAGACTGAGAGCACAGAAAAGGACAGTGTCCTGCTGATGCATACCCTGTTGTCGGCAACCAAGGACCCACCAATTGCCAGCCGGCCTAAGAAAAGCAAGACCAAGAAGACTTCTATTAAGCCTATTACTAAGACCACACCTACTCCCCCTCCAGTCCCACCTGCCAATGATATTGCTAACAACAAGCCTAAAGTAACTTTGCAGGCTTTAAACCTACCAATGTTCACTCAGATCAGCCAGGCTTCAGCTACTACTGAAGCAGCCAGTAATGAGGCTTCAATTACTGCTCAGACCAAGAAAGCCAAGACAAAGAGAGTGACTCCCAAGGCATCCCCAACTAGCAGTGAGGATGTCAGTACACAGCTGAAGTCACCCATACAGGCCCTAAACCTACCAGTCACCTCACCGATTATCCAGTCTCCAGTTGCCAATGAGTCAGCCAATTCCCTGGCCTTGATAGCTGTCAGCAAACCCAAGAAAGCTTCTAAGGCAAAGAAAGCTGCCAATAAGACTGTACCCAGTGCCACTGAGATCTCACTGCCTTCGACTGCCACCCACACAGCCACTACCCAAGGCCAGGCTGCCAAGGAGACAGGTAGTATTCAGGGCACAACAGCCACTATCCGAACCAAGAAAACTTCTAAAGCTAAAAGGACAACTGCTAAGACCACAAATACTGACACTGAATATGTAGAGCCCTCAAATGCCATTGAGACATCTAGCAGACAGATTGAGACCTCAGCTGTAGTTCTAAGGCCCAAAAAGCCCAAGGGGAAGAAGGTTGCCAATAAAGGCTCAAATTCTGCTTCTGAGCTCTCTGAGGCTCCACCTGCCATTCAAATGGTAACAAACCATGCCCTATCTGTCACTGTACGGATCAGGAGAGGGTCTAGGGCTCGAAAGGCTGCCACTAAGACTCGAGCAACTGAAAGCCAAGCTCAAATCCCTGACCAAGGAGCTCAGGCCAAGATGGCTACCTCTCAGGCCAGCATAAGTGCCCTTGAGACTCAGGTTGCTGCTGCTGTCCAGGCCTTGGCAGATGACTATCTGGCTCAGTTGAGTTTAGAGCCCACAACCAGAACCCGGGGCAAGAGGAACCGGAAGGTAAGATCCTTATCCTTGGCTTTCTGCTGCTTTCCAATTCCTAGGTTCTTGGTTTGTCCTATAAATATTTACTGGCCATTTCAAGTTCAAGAGAAATCCTGTGTTCATACAGGTTATAGGATATGTTGAGAAAAATGTGTCTTTTAGTAGGTCATAGATTGGTAGGGAAATACATATAAGTCAAGACCAACTTCTAACTTTTATTTACATAATGTTTAACCATGTGCCAGGCTTTGTGTTACAGAGTTACCCAGGTTTTATGTGGATTTCTTGAAGAGAACTCTTACTAACTGGGGGCTATAAGTCTCAGTTTTAGAGATTTTTTAAAAAAGGCACAGAATGAACAGATCCATCTAAGGCCTGTAGCTAGTAGAGTATGGTGGTAGCCAAAGACAAGGGGAAACCCCCAGGCCATGCATGTCCTTGGTTAGCTTGTGAAATAAACTGTTGCCTACAAGTCAATGAAAGATAAGCCTAGGAGTTGGGGAAGCCCTTTGTAGGGGAGGGTCTTGGCCCTGTAGACTCTAGGGGGACTTTCCAGAAGAGACAGCATTCTCTTTCATTTGCTAACTCCAGACATTTTTTTTCCTTTCCATTGATAAAGTCTAAGCATCCCAATGGAGAAGAAAGAACTGGGAGTAATTACAGGAGGCTTCCATGGGGCCGGAGGCCTCCACCACCCCGAGATGTGGCCATTTTGCAGGAAAGGGTAAGAATCCAATCTGCTTAGGTTGTGTTTTTTCTCTTCATTCTCTGACATTCTTCCAAGTATTCTTCTACTGTATTGATACCTCCTCAACTGTTCCTTTTCTAGGCAAATAAATTGGTGAAATACCTGTTGGTTAAGGACCAGACAAAGATCCCTATCAAGCGCTCAGGTAGCCTTCTTGAGTTCTCTTCTTCATTACTCTTTCCCCATGGCCTGTTTGGGTAACAGTTTACATCCATCATCTCTCATTCCATCTCAGCTGCCACACTCATATTTCAGCATAGCTGCCCTGACCACAAAGGGCTGGTAAAAGACTGCAGTCATCTGGCCTCTGTACAGTTTAGCATCTTCTGTCTCCCCCTTCTTGTAGACATGCTGAAGGATGTCATCCAAGAATATGATGAATATTTCCCAGAGATCATTGAACGAGCAAGCTATGCTCTGGAGAAGGTGAAGGGGCAGACTTGGGGGATGGGTGCATCTACTACATCACCATGATTGTGTAAATGAGCACATGGTGGCCTAGGGAGGGGCAGCCACTGACCACATAGCAAGTCAGTGGTGGAAACACAGCTAGTACTAAAGCTATGCAGGTGAGTCCTGGCTTCTGTCTGCTGCTGGATATACTGTCACATGTATTGCAGATGCTCACTGATCACAAAGAGTTGTGGATGTTTATCTTATGTTCAATGTGTCCTTGGTACTGAACTATATGCTTTATGTGCATTTTCTCTCTCACACAAAACCGTTACTTAGGTATACAGTGATCTGCAGAATGTCCAACATGTTAACTGATACCTGATATATTTTGAGAACTCAAAGGTTATTCTTTTACTTGGCAGATGTTTCGAGTCAATCTGAAGGAAATTGATAAGCAAAGTAGCCTGTATATTCTTATCAGCACTCAGGAGTCTTCTGCAGGCATACTGGGAACGTAAGCTGGGAATGTGCTAGGGTTGGGAGGGGCTTCTGCTTCCATCTATCCCTTTCTTCATATGCTCTTAGCAGCTCAGGAAAGAGGGCCTAAAAGGCCCTGTCCCAGCTCCTACACATGGCTGGATGCCTGTGGGCAGTAGTGGAGCCAGATTATGACTGACAGAAGGGTTTCAGAGCCTGGAGTGGGGAATTCCTGCTGTCAGGTTGGCTTTCTCTCCAACAAACTCCCAGGAAATCAGCCTATTGTTACTTGTGTCTTCTACGGAGTGCCTGGCCTGACTGTGGAAGGGCAGCTCTCAAAGGATGGAGGGATTTCTGGTATGGACCATGATTCTTGAGAGCAGGAGTGTCACTAGGGTTCCATCAAGAACTCTCTCAGGAGCGTTTGTGGCTTTGAGAGAGAAAGAAAAGACTGGTTGACTGCATGCCACATGGCCTCGGTTGACAGGCTTTCTTCCATGTTCTCCTAATCCGAGGTAGGGGTAGCATGTGGTTTTCCATCTTACTGACTGGAGTATCTAGGACCATAGAGTGTGCTGAATTTCTCTGTATCTGAAGAATCTAAGGACATGGTTTATGGACATAAACTTTCTCTGTTCTGTTACTCTCTTAGGACCAAGGACACACCTAAGCTGGGTCTCCTCATGGTGATTCTGAGTGTCATTTTCATGAATGGCAACAAGGCCAGTGAGGGTAAGTGGCTGGGTGTGAAGTTGAATAGGTGCTGTTGTCTGAATTCCAGGTGCTCATTTTCTGTCCTTGTCTCCTTCTCGCTTCCTCTTGCAGCTGTCATCTGGGAGGTGCTGCGCAAGTTGGGGCTGCGCCCTGGGTATGATTGGGCTCTTTCAGCACTTGTTGTCCATGTTGTCTTTTGGCAAGAGAGGATGGTTCCAGGATTGCATCAGCCTGGTGGTCTGGTGGAGCATGCATGGGGAAGGGATGGCGGGTTTCTTATCTGGCCGAATGACAAAATGGTTCTGAACTCTGCTTTCTTTTTCTCCTTCATGTCTTTTGTCTGTTCTGAGATGAGGTGTAAGGTTGACCTTCAGGCATCCCTGACAAAGTGCCATCAGGCCTCCAATGTTTTCTTCTAATGGCCATATGCTCACTATTCTCACTTCATTGAACTGCTTCATTGGCTATAGAATCTGTTCATGCTGGGAAATACCTCTCCCTTCATCTGGGTAGTTCTGGTCTGTATTCACTGATTATTTTTTTCTTTGCTAGAGTAAGACATTCACTTTTTGGAGAAGTGAGGAAACTCATCACTGATGAATTCGTGAAGCAAAAGTAAGTAGTGCTCAAGGCTTTGTGTAACTCTGAAGTACTCTGGGTATGGTAATTTGGTTCAAAAAAGTGCTTAGTGCCTTTCTTCCAGTCATTATAGACAGAAGGGCACCTTGTGTCCTAGACCCGAGTTCTAAAATTCTTGTGGCCAAGCCCCACTGGAACCCTTGCACTGGGGTGTCCTCAGAGCAGGGTCCCCTAAAATGGTCACTCTATTAATAACACACCAACAGGAATTTGGGGTTAGTTTTCATGGGAGACAAAACCCACTTGTCTTCTGTGGTATCCTGTTCTATATAAGTATTGCTAATAACTGCTTTGCATAGAACCGTGCATGGGAATGAGTCTGGGTCTGGAGAACCTTGAAAAATTTTCTCCAGGTGTTTAGAGGAGTTGTTGTTTCATCTGAGGCCTATTGGTTAAACAATAGTTTTGCTTGTTTAGAAGCAAGTTTCATTTTTTTTCTCTAAGATATCTGGAATACAAGAGGGTCCCAAACAGCAGACCACCTGAATATGAATTCTTCTGGGGCTTGAGGTCTTACCATGAGACTAGCAAGATGAAAGTCTTGAAATTTGCATGCAAGGTAATGAACTTCTTGAGCTTGGCACGGTAAGGGAATGGGATGCTCCAGGCTGAGGCAGGCTGTGTGCAGTGACAGACAGTGTGGTGCAACAAATGGTTTGTGTATAAATATATAAAGCCTCATCCATATACTAGATACATACTGCAAGATATATATCTTTCATTTTCTAGTTATTTTTTCATGTATTTTATTAGTCAATTTTAGACTGCAATTATAAAATACTAATAACTGGATGGCTTAAGATTCAGAAATTGATACACTCACCATTCTGGAGATAAAAACCCTACGTTAACATGTAGTCAGTTTCTGGTATAGGCTCTCTTTCTGACTTGTAGATGCCAACTTTTTCTGCATCTTGATGTAGCATAGAACAAGCCTGAGTTTATTTTCATGTCTCTTCTTCTAAGGACACTAATCCTATTTGATCAAGGCCTCAAGGCCTTACCCATTTCACTGAAGTTATACCCATAAAAGGCCCTGTCTGTGAATACAGTAATGATTAGTGATTGGGTATTTAACATAAGAATTTTGGAGAAATGTACTCGATCCATAACATAGTCTATTTCCCATATTATAAATGGGAACATTTGGGCTCAGTGATATAACATAACTTGTCCACGGACATAACTTGGATACATAAGTTATCAGACCTGAAGTTTGAAATCCATACTGACCCATTAGAACTCTAAAAATTTATTTCATACATAACTCTAAGGACTATTTTTCTTATAATAATTTCCATTTTAGGTACAGAAGAAAGATCCTAAAGACTGGGCTGCTCAGTACCGAGAGGCAGTGGAGATGGACGTTCAGGCTGCAGCTGTGGCTGTGGCTGAGGCTGAGGCCAGGGCTGAGGCAAGAGCCCAAATGGGGATTGGCGAGGAAGCTGTGGCTGGGCCCTGGAATTGGGATGACATGGATATTGACTGCCTAACAAGGGAAGAGTTGGGTGATGATGCGCAGGCCTGGAGCAGATTTTCCTTTGAAATTGAATCCAGAGCCCAAGAAAATGCCGATCCTGCCACTAATGTCAACTTCAACCAAGGATCTAGTACCAGAAATAACTTCAGTGACAGTGCCAGTATTAGCTTTAGTGGTCTAACCAACCCCAGTGGTGGTTTTGGTGGCATACCCAACTCCAATGGTAGCTTTGGTGGTAGAAATGGCATCACCTTTGGTAGTGTACCTAACACCTCAGCCAACTTCAGCAGTGCATCAAGCATTAGCTTTGGTGACACATCTTACACTAGCACTAGTTTCAGTGGTGGAGCCAGCATTAGCTTCAGTGGCACACCCAGTACAAGTGCCACTTTCTGTAACACAGCCAGCATTAGCTTTGGTGGTGCATCAAGCACTAGCACGAGTTTCAACAGTGGAACAAGCATTAGCTTTGGTGGTGCAGCCAGCACTAGCACTAGCTTCAGCAGCACAGCCAGCATTAGCTTTGGTGGTGCTCCCAGCACTAGCACTAGCTTCAGCAGCACAGCCAGCATTAGCTTTGGTGGTGCTCCCAGCA